TGGACGGTGAGCGCGGCGCGCTTCTCCGTCGCGACGCGCAGGAACGCGTGGCGCGCGCGGAGCAGGGACCGCGACGGCCGGCCCGCGTCGAGGAACTGGCGGTGGAAGACGCGGAGCACGCGCCGCGCGCGCCGCGCGGCGCCGTAGGCGACGCGCGCCGCGGCGCCGCGCGCGCGCGCCTGCGCGCCCGCGAGGGCCGCCGCGGCGCGCACGGACGACGCCGTCGCGCGCGCGTCGAGGGGCTGGGGCAGCGCGGCGCGCAGGTCGAAGTCCGCCCCGCGCGGCGCGTCGTCGCCGTCGAGCGATCGCTGCCCCCGGGGCGACAGCGTGAGCGACAGCGCGCGGACGAGCGCGACGCAGGCGCCGTGGCAGGGCGCGCCGGCGGCCGCGGCGCCCTCCGCGGCGTCGTCCGCGGGCGCCGGCGCCGCGCGCCGCGCGTCCCAGGGCGCCGCGAGCGGCACGACCAAGGACGCGGAGAGCCGCGGCGACGACGCGGCCGGCTCCGCGCCCTCCGCGAGCCAGGGCCGCTCGGCCGTGAAGACCGTGCGCCCGGCGAGGAGCGGCCCGCCGTCGTCGTCGCCGCCGTCGGCGACGGCGACGACGCGGAGCCGCAGCGCGAGCCAGAAGCCCCGCCGCGCCGTCAGCGTCGCCGCGACAACGAGCATCACTTCCCGCCGCCGCTCGTCGAGCGCCACAACCACGACCTCCCGCGCGTGCCAGAAGGGCTGGGGCCCGCGCCACCAGCGGCTCACGAGCCAGCTCCGCCAGAGCGCGCCGCCGACGGCGTCCATGCGGTAGCCGAAACGCGTCTCGCGGCGCCGCGGCCGCCGCGAACTCGCCGGGTCGAGCGCGACGGCCTTCACGGCGCGGCGCCGGCTCGCCGGCCCGGCGCGCGCGTCGCCCTCGAAGGCGACGGCGTCGACGACGGCGCCGTAGAGCTTCGCGACGTCCGCGGGCCGCATGCAGGCCTTTCCGACGTCGTGGAAGGACAGGTCCACGCCGACGGCGTGGTAGGCGGACCCGCGCTCGGCGAAGGTCGTTTCCGCGCCCGCGTCCGCGGCGTGGAGCGCCTCGAGCGACGGCCGGTGGTGGCCCTCGGCGCTCACGTCGACGAGCTCGACGACGACGTGGTGCGCGTGCTGCCACACGGCGACGTCGCAGGGCAGGCCGCCGACGCGCCGCCGGTGCGCGTCGACGCAGGCGCCGCCCTCGCGGCCCACGAGTTTCGCGAAGTCGCCGTCGTCGGCGAGGACGGGCGCGCGCGCGCGCCGCATCTCGAGCGCGAGGACCGACGGCGCGCACGTCGACAGCGTCCGCAGGCTCAAATTCGGCGGCGCCGCGAGCGCCCGCCGCCGCGAGAAGTCCTTCGTGCGCCGCGCGCCGCGCGTCGCGCTCCGGCGCGGCGCGTCATCGTGCGCGCCCGGCGACGCGAAGCGCAGCGTGCGGCCCTTCGTCTTGCCCTTGGTGCGCTTTGTGTCGCGCCGCGTCGGCGTCAGCAGCGGCCAGCCCGGCGGCCGGTGCGGGAAGGCCGTCAGCACCGTCGAGTGCTCCACCGGTGGCTCCCAGGCCTGGCTGCTTTGCACCATGGACCTTGATCACGGCGCGATCATCGTCGGTCGCGTTAAAAAGATATTCACGTGTCGTTGAACCCGTCATAAAAACTCTCGCTGCCCCGACTCGATGTCCGCGATGCTGCGAGCCCAAAGACTGCTCAAGAAGCGCGTCGTGGTCACGGCCGCGGGCGCCGGCATTGGACGAGCCATCGCCCAAAGGCTCCACGCCGAGGGCGCCCAGGTCGTGGGCTGCGACGTCGACGGCGCGGCCATCGACGCCTTGGCCCGCGACATCGACATCGTGCCCTTCACCGTCGACGTGAGCTCGGAGGCCTCCGTCGCGGCCATGTTCGCCGACGTCGCGCGGCGCTTCGGCGGTCTCGACGGCGTCGTCAACAGCGCGGGCGTCGCCGGCGAGGCGGGCGCCGTCACGGAGCTGCGCGTCGACCGGTGGCGCGACCTCTTCGCCGTCAACGTCGAGGGCCCCATGGTCTGCATCAAGCACGCCGTGCCGCTGCTGCGCGCGCCCAAGCCCGCGGGCCTCGCCGCCGGCGGCGCCATCGTCAACATCAGCTCGACGGGCGGCGGGCTCACGGGCTACCCGCACCGGGCGCCGTACGCGACGTCCAAGGCCGCGCTCAACGGCCTCACGTCGACGCTCGCCATGGAGCTCGGCCCGGAGAAGATCCGCGTCAACACGCTCTGCCCCGGCCTCATCGCCGGCGACCGCTGCGACGCCGTCGTGAAGCTCACGGCCGACGCGTCCGGCGTCGCGGAATCCGCGGTCCGCGCGACGTGGCAGGCAGGGCAGGAAAAGGGTGATTCAACGTCGCTTCAACGTGAGTGTTCCGCGCGCGCGCGTTTCGGAAACAGCACCCACGCGTCGAGAGCGCTCCGAGAGATGATCGCTCGTCCAAAAGTCAGCCGAAACGAGCGGAAAACGACCGAGATAGGAGCCTTTGAAGTTGGGAATTTCGCACCCTTTTCCTGCCCAGGTGGCAGGCGCAGAACATGATGAGGTCCTTCCTCGACGCCGAGGACATCGCCGCCTACGTGAGTTTTTTGCTCTCCGACGACGCGCGCTTCGTGACGAACCAGAACATCTGCGTCGACGCGGGCACGACGAGCCTCGACAACCTCGACGACTACGAGGCCCTCGTGCCCAAGGCGCGCGACGAGGACCGGTCCGAGGCCGCGTGAGGAGCGGCGCCGCGGGGGGGGCTAACACCTCGACGATCGGCGGTGTCCGCGGGCGGGCGCGCCGCGGAGGTCGACGATGGGGACGTCGACGGCCCGGCGCTCAAGGAAAGCGAGCGCCGACGATGCCCTGAAAGGTTGCTCCTCGAGCCTCAATGTAGCTTACCGGACGCCAACTTGATTGATCGTGCCTTGAAGGTTCCATTTTGAAGGTGAGGCGGGGCAGCTCGGGCTCTCACGTCACGAGGCTCTGCGAGAGACCATCTCAACTCCGAAGACACGAGCGTCGCGACGTGCGCCCGGCAGGCAACACTTCGTTCCGCCATGGACTGCTCCTGGGAGAACGACCGGAAGCGGTCCTTCGACGACGAGCCAGCCTCGGACGGAGCCCACCGCAGCCCGCACATGAGCATCGCTCGTGTCACGCCCACCAACCACCTGCTGAGGCTGCCGACGCCGCGGCGCGTGTCCCTCGAGTGGGACGAGTCGCCGTCGACGCGGCCGTCGACGAGCCCGCGCCTCGTCATCTTCAACGAGTGCTCCATCATCGACTCGAACGAGCCCGAGAGCCCGAAGCTGCAGCTCCTCAAGTTGCCGCTCCTCGACAACGTGCCCCCGGCGCCGAAGCGCCAGCGCGTCGTGGATGCGCCGCCCGCGCGGCGGTCGCCGCCCATCCTTGTCAACGCGGACCCGAACCTCGACCTCTTTAACATGCTCTGGCAGCCGACGCCGGCGCCGCGCCGATGACGGAAAGTCCCGATTCCGCGCGTCCGCGGTCCGCCGCGCGCTCTCGACGAGCCGCGGCCCCGCGCCAGGCCTGTGATTCAGTGCGAATCCTCCCCCCTGCTGCTCTGTGTGTGTGTGCCAGCCGTCGACGGCCCGTCTTCCCCCCAAGTCCCCCCCCGCGAAGGCCCCGCTCGTACGCCCACGTTGTCCCAGCTTGTTAACCCGATCCGCCCGCCTTACTCGTCGTCCTCCGAAGCGACGACCAGGTCCGGGTCGGGCAGGCTGTCCTCGTCGGAGTCGCCGCCGTCGCCGTCGTCGTCGGAGGCGTCGTCCGCGCGCGCTTCCGCGGCGACGGCCGCGCGCGCGTCGGCGACGATGGCGCTCGCGAGCCCCCGCGCGGCGTCGTCGGCGTCCGCGCCCTCCTCGAAGGCCGCGCCGCGGCACAGGATCTCCGCGACGGCGCCCGCGTCCGCGGCCGCGAGGTCCGCGGCGCCGTCGAAGCCGCCGTCGTAGAGGCGCCGCGCGGCCGTCGGGTTGACCCGCGGCGACGCGCGCATGAGCGCCATGAGCTCGTCCGGCGCGCCGCGCGCGAGCTTCTCGCGCATGGACGCGACGGCAAACGCCTGCTGGTCCCAGTGCAGGCCCTCGCAGAACGTCTTCAGCCGCCGGCAGAGGCCCGCGGCGTCCGCGAGGTAGCTCTCGACGTCGCCCGGCGACACCTTGGGCGGGGCCACGTGGTCCTCGCGGTTCGTGCCGCCGCAGGCCGCGCCCATGCGCTCCGCGAAGGGCCGCCCGGGGAGCTCCGAGCCGACGCCTGGGCAGGAAAAGAGTGCGAAATTCCCAACTTTGGAGGCTCCTCTCTCGGCCGTTTTCCACTCGTTTCGGCTAATTCTTGGACGAGCGATCATCTCTGGGAGCGCTCTCGACGCGTGGATGCTTTTGCCGGAACGCGCGCGCGCGGAACACTCACGTTGAAGCGACGTTGAATCACTCTTTTCCTGCCCTGGCCGACGCGGTCCAGAAGCAGCAGCGCGAGGCAGAAGCGCTCGTGGACGCGGTGGCACGACGCCGGCGCGAGCGCCGCCGCGAGGGCGACGGTGTCCGCGTGCGCGTGGGCCGCGTCCGCCGCGAGCTTCGCGCGCCGCCGCACGTACGCGAGCGAGCCGCCGACGACGGCCTCGAGCGCGTCGACCGCGGCCGCGTCGCGTTTGAGCACGTCGTGGAACGCGGCCCAGTCCGCCCGGCTCGCGAGGACGTCGCGGCCCAGGGGCGCGATGAGGTAGCAGCGGTGGAGCTCGCCGTTGTAGTCGATGCCCCGGCGGCACGCGAGCGCGCCCAACGCCTCGCGCGCGTCGCGCGGCGCGAGCCCCGCGGCGTGCGCGGCCCGGCCCAGGGGCGTCGCCTCGTGGCCGCCGCCCGCCGCGGCTCGTAAGAAGCGCAGGTCCGCCAGAGTCGCGAGCGTCGCCGCCTCGAGCACGTCCGCGCCGAAGCCGAAGGCCACGTCCGCCGCGGCGCCCTCCTTCGCCGCGCCGCTGCAGACGAGGTCGAGGTAGTGCTTCTCGCGCACGCGCCGCCGCTCGTCGGCCTCGCGGGGCGCGAGGCTCGCGTCGCCGGCGAGCGCGGACTTGATGGCCGCGTAGTCCTCCGCGAGCAAGCCCGCGCACCGGTCCGCGGACGCCTTGACGCCGCACACCACGAAGGCCTCGCCGCGGTCGCCGAAGCCCTTGCGGCCCGCGCGGCCGCACATCTGGCGCAGCTCCGCCGCCTTGCACCAGGCCGAGAGCTGGAGCACGACGACGCGCGCCGCGGGCGTGTTGACGCCGACGCTCAGCGTCGTCGTCGCGACGCAGCAGCGCAGCAGACGATCCCGAATGGCCCCCTCGACGACGTCGCGCTCCAGGGACGTGAGCTCGGCGTGGTGGAAGGCGACGCCGCGGCGCACGCAGGCCCGGAGCGTCTTGGAGACGCGCGAGCCGGGCGGCGCGACCCTCGAGAGCGCGGCCGCGGCCGCGCGGAGCGGTTTGTAATTTTCAGCCGGGGGCGGCGGCGCCCATTTTGCCAGTTTTTCCGCGAAGTCCTGGGCGTCGCGCCGCGTCTTCGCGAAGGCGAGGACGAAGCCGCGAGCGGCGAGGCAGAGCTCCGCGCCGAGGGCCTCGTCGGTGTTCGCGAAACGGCGCTCGTCGACCATCCGCGCCTCTACGGCCCAGCCCGCGGCGACGTCCGCGAGTTGCGCGCCGTCCCAGCGCCGGAGCGTCGGCGTCCAGGGCTCGCGGATGAGCTCGCGGCACTCGCCGCCGGGCGCGTAGAGCGGCGGCGACGCGACGAAGACGTCCAAAGTCGTCGGCCGGTACGACGTCCGGAAGAGCGACGCCCTTAACCACGCCGCCAGCTCCGGCAGGTTCGACGCCGTCGCCGTCATGGCCACGACCTGCGGGTCGCCGCGCCGGCCGTCGGCCGCGGGCCGCGCCAGGAGCAGCTTCACGAGGAGCGACTCGAGGACCGCGCCGCGCTGCGACTCCGACATGAGGTGCACCTCGTCGACGACGACGCAGGCCAGGCGCTCCCGCACGAGCGCCGCGCCGCCGCGCTCGAACAAGGCGTCCAGGAACGCCGACGCGCTCTCCCAGGTGAGCACCGCGACGTCCGTGTCCCCGTCGTCGACCAAGGCGGGCGGCCGCGGCTTCTTCCGGCCGCCGCGCTCGCGCGCGCGGCGGCTCTCCTCGGCGTCGCCGTGGCAGGCGCGCACGCGCCAGCCGTAGGACCCGTCGCCGGACCAGAGCTTGGCGAACTGGCCCACCTTCTCCTCGACGAGCGACTTTAGGGGCACGACGTAGAGCGCGACGCGCCGCTTCCGGCGCCGCCAGAGCGCCTTGGCGATGAGGAGCTCGGCGACGGTCGTCTTGCCGCCGCTCGCCGGCGCCGCGTAGACGAGCGAGCCGCCCTCGAGGGTCGCGGGGTCGCTGAACAGCGCTGCGCGCTGCCACGCGTAGAGGTGCGGAATCGCGTAGCGTCCCGCGAGCCGCGCGGCGTCGGGCAGCGCCAGCCGCGCGAGCGTCTCCTCGAGCGGTTCGTCCTCCGGCGCGTCCGAGGCGTCGTCGTCGTCGCCTTCGGCGGCGCGCGGCGCGGCGCCGCTGGGTTGCTGGTTGTGCACGAGCTTTGGTCGTTTGAGCGCGGGTCGCGCCGCGGAGGAGCTTTGGTCGCCGCCGAGCGGGAATCGGGCCGGCTGCAGCTGTTTTGCGTGCGCCTTGAGGCCGAAGCCTTGCACGCTGAATTGAGACATGACTTACGACTTTTGAAAGGGCATCATGCACTCCATTGTTGCGCTTGTGGCAAAGCCGATTTTGCAGCAAACTTCGACTGCGCCGTCGTCGTCGTCCGAGTCGATGCGCCGCGCCATGGCAACCCTGCTCCTGCTGGGTCGCCGCGCCGGCGCCTTCGTGGCGCCGCGGTGCCGCGTCGTCGCCGCGCGGCGCGAAATGACGCTCATGCCGCGCGACGAGCAGACGATCAGCCCCCTGCCCTACAAGGGCGTGCTCTACGACCTGCGCGGCTCGAGCGCGGCCTACACCGACGTAAGCGTCGACGACTTCGCGGTGCGGCTGGGCGCGCTCGAGCGCGCCTGGCGCGACGAGGCCCAGCTCAGCGGCTGGGTCGCGCTGCCGCTCGCGCTCGCGAGATTCGCGGAGGCGGCGGCGCGGCGCGGCTTCGAGCTGCACCACGCGGAGGGCGACTCCATGGTGCTCTACAAGTGGTTCGGCGCCGGCGAGGACAAGGTGCCGCCCTACGGCAACACGCAGGTCGGCTGCGCGGGCTTCGTCGTCAACGATAAAAACGAGATTCTCGTCGTGAAGGAGTGGCAGAGCGCGAACGACGGCGCGGACCGCGTGCCGTCGCCGAACTGGAAGCTGCCCGGCGGCTTGGCGGACCGGGGCGAGTCCTTCTTCGAGTGCGCCGCGCGGGAGACGCTCGAGGAGACGGGCGTCGCGTGCCGCGCCGTGAGCGTCCTCGGCATGTGGCACCGCCACGGCGTGCGGCCCTGGGGCAAGAGCGACATCTACTGCGTCGTGCGGCTCGAGCCCCTGGGGCCTCTGGCCATCGACGCGGACCCGGAGGAGATCAGCGACTGCAAATGGTACGACGCCGCGGCCTTCGCGGCGGAGGAGCGGCACCCGCTGATCACGAAGGTCTTAGCGGAGGTCTACGGCTTGCGGCGAGGCGACGCCGTCGCGGGCGCGTTCGAACCCAAATGCGACTTCGCGAATCTGGGCGTCCAGTGGCCCGGCCGCGACCCCTACGCGACCTACTTCCCCAAGGTTTCGGGCGCGAAGCGCCTGCCCGCGCGGATCCGCGCCGGAAACAACCGGTGGAATGGACCGGTCCAGCAAAACTTCAAACCTCTCCATCTCGGTCAAATCGAAGTCAATTCGGCTGATTTTGGACGAATCGTTTTCTCTCGTCGAGTGCTTGACAAACAGCGAACATGTTGTGTAACGCTCGTTCGAATACGCGCACATTGAAGTCTTGTTGCATATTTTTCCTGCTCAGGCGCGGATTCGCGCGGTCGCGTCCGACGTCGACGGCACGCTGCTCGACTCGGCGTCGGTCCTCCACGCCGACAACGCGGCGGCCATCGCCGCCTGCGCGGCGCACCCGGGCCTCCGCTTCTTCCTCGCGACGGGGAAGTGCCGCGCGGGCGCGCTCGCGGCGCTGCCGGCCGCCGTCGCCGAGGCGCTTCCCGGCGGCGTCTTCGTCAACGGGTTGGTGGTCTACGACGACGGCGGCGCCGTCGTCCACGAGCGGCTGCTCGCGGGCGACGTCGTCGCGGACGCCGTCGGCTTCGCGGACGGGCTGGGACTGGACGTCGTCGCCTACGCGCGCGACGACCTCCGGACGCTCGCGGCCACTCGGAGAACCGACGAGCTCGCGGACGTCTACCACGAGCCGCGGCCGCGCGTCGTCGACGCCGTGGCGGACGCCGCCGCGGGCGCGAACAAGCTGCTCTTGCTCGCGGACGCCGACGTGCTCGCGGCCGCGCGGCCCGCGCTCGAAAAGCTCCTCAGGGCCGGGCCGCGACGACGGTCGCTTTGCCCACGATGCTCGAGGTCCTGCCCTTCGGGGGCTCGAAGCGCGAGGGCGTCCGCGCGTACCTCGACCACTTCGGCCTCGACGAGGGCGCGGACCTGCTCGCCGTCGGCGACGGCGAGAACGACGCGGACATGCTGCGGCGCGCCGCGCTCGGCGTCGCCGTCGGCAACGCGGGCGCGGCCGCGGCGGACGCGGCGGACGTCGTCGTCGCGCCCAACGACGCGGGGGGCGCCGCCCAGGCCCTCTACATGGCCATCGCCCTGGCGAAGTCATAATACGAGTCGCGGCGCAGCTGGTGTTGTCGTCGCCAATTTTTTCGCCACACTGGCCCACAAGTTTTTGCAATCGCGCACCTTCTGCGCCGGTTTTGCGCGAGCCCTCGACACGGCGAGTCGCACGACGAACATCTCGAAGGCGCACGCGACGCCGACGAGCACGCGGTAAACGCTCGCCGCATGGGCATCGAGATCCCGCATCCCGAAGGCATCGCTCCAGAGGACAGCTGGTAGGTCCATTGTTCTCCCAAACCACATCGATAACAGAGTTGGCCCGTAGGACTGCGACAGCTAAGCAGGTCACGACGGGCGAGGATTTCCCGCCGGACGTGACGACCTACTTCGAGTACGTGATCACGCACTCAGACGGATCGCGGACGCTCCTCTCCGTCAAAGACGTGAACGGCGTGAAGACGTCGTCGTCGAAGAAGGACGACAGCGGCGCGCCGCCCGCCCGCAAGAAGCCAATTCAGCCTCCGCTGAACCTGCCCTTGGGCGCGGGCTGGAAGGCGAAGCGCGTCAGGCGGCGCCCGAAACAAATTCGGCGCGGAGCGGTCGACGCGTCCTTTTCGCAGGCGGTCGACCGGACGCGAGCGGCGTCGAGACGGCGACGACGGTCTACACCGTCGTGCTCGACGGCCAGATGTACACGCAGACGGAGGTCCAGGTCGGCACGGGGCCCGTCGACGTGAGCAAGTCGGCGACGACGGCCGCGCCGCCCGACGAGGAGCCCGCCGTCGCCGCGGAGCCCGCCTAGGCGGCGCGGGATGCTCCCGGGGATTCTCCGCGGCCAAGAACCCGGGATATCATAAAGAAGTGTCACTGTCGCTGCTGGGAGATGATCCGCGGCCGCCGGCATGGGGCTTCGAAAGCCGGCGCGGTGGACTGCTTCCCAAAACAACCCGGAGTAAAAGGCATGTGCCGCCGGCGGCGCGGAGTCTTCGGGGGCCGGCGCCGGATGTAGTGCTCCAAACTCGGCCGCGCGGCGACGAGTGGCAGCCGGAGAAGGCCTCGGAGAGGCCCAAATCTCTCTCTCTCCCCCCGAATTCGGATCTTTTGTCCAGCACAATCAAACCTCAGGGGCCCAACACTCATCAAGACATAACAGTATGTGCCCGCGTCGTGCGCGCGCGCGACACCCGCCCCGGGGCACGCCGCAGCCCGGAAACTCATCAGATCACCCGCGCCGTAGGTCCCTTTCACGCTTTCAAGCTCAAACTTTCATCGCCATGGCCGCCGACCGCCCCGCGCGCCACCGGCGTCCGTTTCTGTTAGCGCGTCGCTCGCGGTCGCACACCGCCGCGCGCCGGCACCCGGGGCCTCCCGCGGCGCTGAAAGGGGCCGGGGGACGGGGCGGGCGAGGGCGGGGCGCCGCGGTGCGGGGGGCTCCGGGCGTTTCGGCGCCGCGGCGCCGCGCGGCCGAGAAAAAATGATTCCAATCCGCCGAGGCCCACTTCTTCGCCCCGCCGCAGACCCGCACGCGCACCGCTCCCGTCCGCATGGTCGAGGAGGAGCCCCCGACGAAGAAGCCCGCGGCGAAGAAGACCAAGAAGACGGCGACGGCCAAGAAGCCCGCGGCGACGAAGAAGCCCACGGTGAAGAAGCCTACCACGAAGAAGCCCGCGGCCAAGCCGGCCACGAAGAAGCCCGCGTCCAAGCCGGCCACGAAGAAGCCCACCACGAAGAAGCCCGCCGCCAAGCCCGCGACGAAGAAGCCCGCGCGCGGCCCGCGCCCCGACACGCCGCGCGCCCGCCCGCCCCGCCCGTTCGAATTCGACCGCCCCGCCCGGAGCCGCGCGCGCCGCGACGCCCGATGCCCGCAGGCGAGCAAGAAGAAGTGAGCGCGCCGCGACCGGTGGGTCGACGCTGGCGCCGCCGAGATCGCGCCCGCGGCGCGGGCGCCGCTCTCGGTCGGCGACGCTCGCCGCGCCTCGTCACTGAACAGCTTCGTCGCACCCTGCGTTTCGCACCGACTCCATCCCGCGCCATTGTGCTCACCCCCCGCCCCCTCCTCCTGCGCCCCCCACGTGTAAGATGTTGCATCTCGCCGGCGCTCGGATGGGTCGGTGCGGCGGTGCGCCGCCGCCGCCGTTCGTTCGCGCGGCCGCCGCGCCGCGCCGCGGGTCCCGCGCGGAGCTTTTTCGTCGTCTTCGTCCATGCCCGGTCCCGCGGCGCCGGACCCGTCCCCCGGGGCGCGCGCGCGCGGCGGCGGCGCGGCGGGTCGGTGGTGGGCGGCGAGCCGTCCGGGCGGCCGGCGGCGACGCGGGCCAACATCGTCGAGCGAGCATGCTTGAAATCGCACCAAGTCATGTAGCAGTAATGGATCTTAACGATCTTCTGCCGACCCCGAAACAAACGGGGCCCGAAGCACCTGAAACCTTGCACCTCGAGCCTCCCAAGTTGACGCGGCTATCGGAAAGGCAGCCCCGTCGTCTCGTCGCGTTTGGGGGCACAATGGCACCGAACTCGTCGGCCCCGGCCCCCCTGAAGCCCCGCGGCGGCGGCACGGGCGGCGGCGAGCAGCACGTCCTCGTCCCGCAGCTGGCCCTCATCAAGGACCCGCGGAAGCAGCCCCGCCTCGTCTGCCACCCGGACCGCAAGGAGCCGGACTCGCGCGTCGGCGAGAAGCGCGTCGGCCCGGGTCCGCCGCGCGCGCGCGGTCCGCGGCGCGATCGGCCCGCGCCTCTAGGTACAAGGTCATCGGCAAGAACGGCGCGACGGTGCGCAAGGGCGAGAGCCTCGAGAGCGAGATCGTCGACAAGGTCGCGATCGACGACACGGTGCTCGTCGAGGAGGAGAACGCGGACAAGACGCGCGTGCGCATCGACGACCCCGAGGGCTGGATCTCGACCAAGGTGCTGCTGCCCCACAGCGTCAAGCAGGTCAAGGAAGGCTGGAAGGGCGACATCCAGGAGTACGACCCGGGCTGGGAGGAGCTCGGCTACGGCCTCAAGAAGGAGGACTTCGAGGACCCGACGAACCTGACGCTCGACACCATGAAGGAGGACCTCCGCACGAAGCTCGAGGCCGAGGGCGTCGACTTCAGCTAGGCGGGGCGCGCGGGGTAAGGCGTCGGCCATCGCGCGAGTCCTCGCGCGCGACAGGGCCGGCGACGGCCATCCCGTTTTCGAGCTGAACCAACATTCACATGAACATGGAGCACAGCTCCAGCTCCTACGGGAGCACGGCCGGGAGCGGCGCGTACGCGCCCGTGGCCGACGTGGAGCTCGCGACGCGGCGCAAGGGCTCGGACTCGCTGCCGCCCGTGCGCGGCATGCGGCTCAACTGGACCGTGGGCCGCGCGGCCCTGCCCTACGGCGTGAGCGTCGGGCGGCTGCACGCGTCGGACGTGCTGCCGCGCGTGCGCTTCAACAGCGCGGCGGCGGAGCAGGAGGAGGGCCTCGCCTTCGCCGAGGCCTTTGGCGTGGGCATCTCGCTGCACTTCAAGCTCGGCAAGTTGTTGCTGTCGCTGCTCTTCGCGGCGGCGGTGCTCCAGCTGCCGGCGCTCGCGCTCTACGCGCGCCACGGCCAGTTCCGCGCCCACGCCGAGCCCGTGGCGCCCTACGGCGCCGGCTCGCTGAGCGTGCTCGACGGCGCGGCGCTCGCGCGCTACTCGATGGCGGCCGTGCCCGCGCCGGAAAGCGTCGGCGAGACGCCGCGCGCGCGGCGGCGCGACATCCTCGCCGTGTCCTTCTTCGCCGCCTGCGCGACCCTGGCGCTGTTGAGCGGCGCGGCGGCGGCGCGCGACTTCGTGCGGCGCGACGCGCTCGCGCTCCGGACGCTGGCGCCGAGGCCCGAGCACTACGCGTTGCTGTTAAGGGACGTGTCGCCCGACGCGACGGCGGCGACGGTGCGAGCCGATGTGTTGGCAGCGCTGGCGGCCTACGGCGCGGGGCGGCCCTGCGCCATCGAGAAGGTCGCCGTGCACCACGTGCTCCGGCCCGTGCTCACGAAAGCCGTCGAGGCGATGGCGGCCGAAACCGCCGCGGTCCGCGCGGAGAAGCGCGCCAGGGCGCGGCCGCGCCTGAGCGGCGCGGCGCTGCGGACGCGGGCGCGGTCGCTGCGCGTGCGCGGCGAGCTCGTGGCCCTCGCGCGGGGGCCGCGGGACCGGGCCATCGCGGCGTTCGTCGTCTTCGAGTCTCCGCGCGCGGCGCGCGACGCCGCGCGCGCGCTCGCGCGGCGCCACGCGGCGCTGCGGCGCGCGCGGCCGTCGCTCGTCTGGGCGCCCGAGGGCAAGGCCCTGCGCGGCGCCGGCGCGCTGGGCTTCGCGCGGCCCGCGATGGCGCCCGCGCCCGCGGACGTCAGCTGCTGTGTGGGAATCAAATCTTCAACACGACTTCGATGTGAGCGCATTCGAATGTTTCGACCCAAGTTCTTCGGCTGTGCTTCGAGAACTCGATGGGAGCCATCGATCCGTTCAAAAATCAGCCGAATCGACTTCGATTTGACCGAGCTAGAGAATTTCAAAGTTTCGCCCGTCGTCCCAGCTCACTGCTTGATTTGCACGCAGGTCATCTGGGAGAACTTGGAGGTGTCCGAGGCGTCGCGCGCGGCGCGGCGCTTCCTCGTGCGCGCGGCGACGCTGGCCGTCATCACGTCGGGCCTCTTCGCCGTCTACGCGCTGCGGGGGCGGGCGATCCACGACATGGCCGACGACCCGGGCCCGGAGGCCGTCGCGACGGCCGCGCCGACGGCGTTCAACGCGACGGCGCTGAGCGACGACGGCGCGCCGGAGCCGTCGGACCCCTTCCACAGCGCGAAGCACGCGCTGGCGCCCTACCTGACGCGGGAGCCGTCGGCGAAGCGCCACGCGCTCTTCTTAGTGCTCATCGTCGTCTGCCTCAACTCCGTGCTGCGGATCCTGGTGCGGCGGGGCGCGGTCTTCGGCGCGCACTCGACGCGGACGACGGAGCAGTCCGCGGCGCTCCTGGCCTACTGGGCGTCGACGACGCTGAACACGACGGGCTGCTACGCGCTCGCGGCCTGGCGGGGCGCTGTGTGGAATTCAAATCTTCAACCCGACTTCAATGTGCGCATATGCGACAGTTTTGACTCAAGCTCTTCGGCTGTGCTTCGAGAACTCGACGAGAGCAATCGATTCTC